TACATGAATTTTCTAGAATAGGTATCATTTGAAATTCAGCCATGGTCAGCCAAAGAAACAAGCTGAGGCTAGCGTATGAATCAGAGAAGTGTGTCCTGGGAGGGAAGAGAGGGGTGCAGCCATTTGGCCCAGGGTTCTTCATGTTCAGGCCTCTCTCCTGCGCGCTACACAGCATCTGAGAGGCTTGAAGGCAGGTCGGGCCACAGACCTGGCTTTTATTTCATGTTCCTACCTCTGGTGCCTGCCTACCTCACTCTGTTCACTGGGTTCTTTGTCTTGTATACATATGGGTTGTCAGGAGCTTTGCCCTCTTGCTTGCCTCTGCTTTTTGGGTCTGTGATTATTCTTTGTTCACCTAGTTTCTAACCCACTTGGGACCCCCTCCACTCAGGTTTCTGAGGGTTTGCCTATGCATATTCTGGTCAACCACACCTGTGTCTTTTGAGCTTCACGATAATTGTCCAACATGCTGATAATGATACTCATCATTTGCCTCTTATGGGAAGGTCCAAGGGCACATGGGGAAGGAATCCAGCTTTCCCCATTCAGCTCCAGCTCTCCTGTATTTTAACTCAACGGGAACTGCTTGGCAGCTATACATGTCCTTGTTGATAATGCTCAGGCATGTGGCTTATTGTGTGAACTTTTGGTGTGTTCTGTGAAAGGACAAAGTAGCATTCATCCTCTTCCTCTTTGGTGATCCAGCTATTGCACGTGTTTTGTGATTGATTCGCTTGATACATCTGTTTTAGCTCTTACTAAGTAACAATCCATCCCAGAGTTTAATGGCTTAAAACAACCACAGTGCATGATTTCTCATAATTCTGAGATCTTGACTGGGCTTAGCTGGGCAGGTGTTCTGTTCCTCATCGAGTATGCTTGGTTTGAAATATCGAAAATGGCTTTTTCACACACATGCCTGGCTTCTCAGTGGCAATGGGTAAGCATCTCTCCATGTGGTCCTCCCCATGGCTGACCTGGGGTAGCGTGGTGGTCTCAGGGTAATCAAACTAGACTTTTTACATTGTGGCAGGATTCGTTTCAATCTCCCCTTAGGGACCTGCACTGACACAGTGTATCTTCTGCCACATTGCATTGGTTAAACCAAGCCAAGGCCAGTCTAAATTCAAGGGTAGGGCGAACAGCCTCCACCTCTTGGTGAGAGGAACAGCATAATGGCACAGTGAGGGAAGGAACTGATGGTCGCCATCTTTGGAGATTATCTACCATAGTCTCCCTCGTGATGCATCTCTTGGTTTATTGGTCTTTTTTTATTCTTAATGGCACTATATGGTATAGAAACGCAGGGCAGGCAGGAATTAGTCCCATAGCCCTAAACGTCAAATCGTTTACCAGCAATCCCAGGGTGCTATCTGCCCTGAACTGTAAGATGGGACATGTCATTCAAAGTCTTCATGGACTGCCTTGGAAAGTGCAATAAAGGTTTATATTTGTGGAGTACTTGGTATGGGCCAGACCCTATGCTTATGCCTTTTTCATGTTATTAAATTATCGTCATCTTTCCAGAGCTGTGCATGTAATTTCAGTGGCAGTTTCTGGGTTGGTTCAGGAGATAAAAATACAACATGACCAAGGTGGTATCAAAGATTCAAAAATGCTACCCACACTCAAGATCACCAGCCCCTCAGGTCACAGAAGCACATAATGCCTTGGGAATACTGATGATACGTTTTCTTTTCCTTCTCCCCTCCCCCCTTCTAGAATTTCTTTTGTCAATTTCATATTCCATTAATTATATATTTGTCCTACTTTGGTCCGTTTCTAAACCGCCCCCCCGCCCCCGGGCCCCACCATCTTCCTACAACTGATGCAAATGAGGAGGGATCCTGGAGGCAGGTGGGGGAACAGAGATCATCCGAGTAGAGTCTAGTCTGTTCTCTGAGTGGAGGAAAGTTCTCTGCACCCACACACAGACCACACCTTCCAGGCACAAAGCTGATGCCCTCCCATACCCCTCAGGACAAAGAAATTGGGTCAAGGGTGAGCGAACTGTGAATCCTAGTTCTGTATCGAGCCCCCAGTGTGCTTAGGATAATGACTATTGGTAATGTTACTTTATGCAGGAATATCAGCAAATCCAAAGCCAGTGCACACCCTGAAAAATCCTACTAAGGTAGCATATGGCATTTTTTATGTTGCATTTATGTATTTTTCATGGTTTTATTGATACATCATTTACATACCATAGAGTTCACCCATTTAAAGTGTATAGTTAATGGTTTTTAGCACATTTACAGAGCCGTGAGCCAATCACCGTAAATCTAATTTCAGACATTTTTATCACCCTAGAAAGAAACCCTGTTCCCATAGCAGTCATTCCCTATGTCATCCCCTTCCCCCAGTGTTAGGCTGCTAATCCACTTTCTTTCTCCATAGATTTGCCTAATCTGGATAGTTCATGTAAGTGGAATTATACAATGTGGTCTTTGGTGACTTGTTTCTTTACTTAGCTTCACTTATTCAGTTCACTGATTTCATATCAATGATGGTTGAACTTTTAAGTTACCATTTCTTTGATATATTTTTTCCAGGATCCTAAACATTTCAAGTCCGAGAAGACAGGACGGGGACAGTTAAGGGAAGGCTGGAGAGATAGTCACCAGCCCATCATGTGTTCTTACAAGCTGGTGACCGTGAAGTTTGAGGTCTGGGGGCTTCAGACCAGAGTGGAACAATTTGTACACAAGGTAAGTGAACTAGCCGCAGCTCCTGAGCTGCGGACAAAGTAACTGTCTTTATTGTAAGCTGGAGTGCGTGAGGTATGACAGACAAGTGCTGAGCCAGCATGAGGTAACTATACCTAGAACACTCTGTTTTCATGAAAAACATTTTACCTATGGGTTTAGTTTTATTCCACCAATAGATATTTTACACTTCATCTCTTATTCTGTTACCTCTGGGTCTACTGGGTGAGTATGAAGTTGGACAATTAAGTTCATGAACTCACCCTGGAAAAAGTGCTACCTACTTCATTGCTGAATATCACTGTGGTCATCTTCGAAACACTCCCCTTGGGAAGCTATGCACTGACACCAGTGCCTAGTCCACCCTTCAAAGCAATTTTGGAACTCTTTTTCTGGAATGGCCATCAGAGCTGTCGTTGTATTACCCTTGATTACCTGAATGTCATCAAAATGTCTTCCTTTCACTATTTCCTTTATCTTTGGGTAAAGAAAGAAGTCATTGGGGGCCACATCAGATGAGTAGGGAAGGTGTTCCAGTATAGTTATTTGTTTACTGGCTAAAAACTCCCTCACAGACAGTGCCATGTGAGCTGGTGCATTGTCATGATACAAGACCCATGAATTGTTGGTGAAAAGTTTAGGTCGTCTAACTTTTTCACGCAGCCTTTTCAGCACTTCCAAATAGTAAACTTGGTGAACTGTCCAGTTGGTACAAATTCATAATGAATAATCCCTCTGATATCAAAAAAAGTTTAGCAACATCATTACAACTAGTTCGCGAACTTAATTGTCAGACCTCGTATATTTGGGAAATTGGGCTTTCAAAACACACTTCTCCCTTTGGCACCCAGTTCCAGGCATGAGTACTTATACTTGGCACTTGGTTCCAGGCAGAAGCACGGGGCTGATCTGTGTGTGCAGCCCCCCAAGGATGATTCTCACTCCAAAGACCCTGCAAATGTAGACACTTAAGGTAGAAGGTAGAAGACTCCCCAAGAACTAGAACAAGTAACCCCCGTATTCCCATTAGAGGGTACACTTCAGCATTTCTGCTCATATAATGATTCTGTTATCAAAGAATTATTTACATCCTCAAAACAAAGATTTCAGTTGTGTTCCGACTTTGGCTAAACATGTTCATTTTGTAGCAGGAATTCACTTGATAATGACTTAAGTTTCTTAGGAGTTTCTAACATGACTCCTGTCCTCATGGAAAAAAATGGGAAATGTCATGTCGAGCATTTGCCCTTTGCAACTCCTCCTGTTTCCATAAAAATAAATACTATCCAGTTGTCTCTGCATTCCAGATAGGCTGGATATCTGTTTATTTTTCCACATAAAAACTGATTTAAAAAAAAAAAAGTTTTCTGAAATTCTTTTGGGAGCACTGGAATGTAACCTTCATGCACCGAGCTTTTTGTTACTTAGATGGATTTGTCTACAGGGGGCAATTGGCAATAAAATTGGGAGGCCAACTGACAATAAAATGTGCAAATCTTGACTTTAGGCCCAAGGAGTAGACTGAATTTGGGCTCATGATAGTAGCAGACTCCGGAACAAATTTGAGACAGAGAAGCATGCCCGTCTTCTGCTGAGCCCCAGGACCCATTCTGCCCAAACAGAGGTGGGAGCCAAGTGAGACATGGAAGTCAAGTTCTGGGACCTCCTGTTTTCCTGCTGTGTCCTGATTAAGCAAGAAGACAGTCAAGGCTCCCAGAGTTAATATTTTCCAGCTTCATCTCTGTGTCTATCTCGGGCTCTACCTTCCTTGACTTCCTACAACATCCCCGTCCCATCTTTTTTTTAACCCAAAATGATCTCTCACCAGGGCCACCCCAGTGCATTTTGTTATTTCGCCCCCTCACAAAGCGTATTTAGATTGCCACACCGCTCACTTTGTTCCTTTTCTCACAGATGACTTTGGCTAATTTTGAGACTCTCTTTCTTTAAAACACCTGTAAGAATTACACTCTAGTAAGAGACATTCCCATTGCCCATTTCCAAATATAATGAAGTGTTACCAACGCCCCCAAAATACACCTGCTCTGGCACATGAATCGCTAATGAGTATCCAAGGCTAGCATTTGCGTGAGTTTCAAGAGAAAGTGCCTTTCTCTGAACACTTTTGTTTTTTAAGAATCTATTCACAGTTAAGGGGGAAAAAAATGTTCGAAAGCGAGCCATTAGCACATCACTGAATTCCTCTTTCCAGCAGACAGCTGTGCTGTGTTTAATGGAATAAAGTACATTTACTGGTGCCTCGATGCCGTCCTTTGGATCTCCATGAATTTGGCACACTCAGCACTCAAGTGTATATGGCTTCGTGTTGCTTCTTATTTTCATTACACATTTCCTTCTTCAGCCTCACTAGATACCCAGAGTCCTGGCATAATAAACACTTCACTGTAAATGCTTCCCTTGCTTCTGCAAATTCACCAAATGAAAATCCCCTGTTTATTGAAACATGCTTGAACCTTCCATGAGAGGGTTTTGACGATTGCTGGATTTGTTTGGCAGGAAGAAGGGAGTGCTGGAGGAAGAGTGCGTATCCAAGAAACGTAAAAAGGCATATTTATGGAGGACAAAAAAAGAATACCATGAAATAAAAGCACATGAAGAGTGTAACACACACTCACAAACTATATATATTATTTTTCTTAGTTTGCTATTGTCCCTATGTGTCACCATCAGAAACAATTTCATTCCTTTTGTCTCCCGTCAGGCTTATCATTCCCATTATGTTCTAGTCTAGTTCGGGTCTCTTATTTCATCTCTTTTTTTTTTTTTTTTTTTTTAGCTGAGCCATCCTGCTACCTGTTGGCAGCTCAGCNGCTGCTCAGCTCGGGCCAGGACTCGAACCGCTGTTGCTCAGAGCTCACACTCTTGAGCGAGCTCTTAACCAACTGAGCCACTCAGCCGGCCAGTTCATCTCTTTTAGTAATAGTTGACCAAACTTGTTTTATTTGCCCCCTTCTGTTACATGAAAGTCAAGCCTAGAAAGGCGTTTACTTATCTTGTATCCCACACCTTCCATTGGTTAAATAACCAATATTTAGAATATTTCATCAGAGAAGAAAGAGGGTTAAGTGCTCTTTACTTAGCGGTGACCTGCTGCCCAGGAAAGCTCTGACATTTATGACCTCCTGACACCAGTAAGACAGACACACCCTTTTACAAATGAAAAATAGAACCTGTTTTAGGTAAACAAATGAAAAGTCTTAAAGCGATTAGCCTAGAGATTCCTTCCTAGTCACTGCTGTGTGACTGCCAAGTACTTGTCATGGGTTCATACACACCTCCAGCCCGACTTTCTGATAAGATGGGGATTAATTTACAGCAAGTACATTCATGCCATGGAAAGGGCTGAGGGTGAGCAAGTACAATGTCTGCGTATGTGAGCTTATAATTGTCATCACGTATGAACAGAGGGATGGAGCCCTCTGTAACTGTCAGAATTTCTAGAATTGGGAACAATCTATTCATTTCCAGATCGTTTTAATCAAACATGGTATTATTTCAACCACCTTCTTTCACTCTTTCAGGTGGTCCGAGATATTCTGCTGATTGGACATAGACAGGCTTTTGCATGGGTCGATGAGTGGTATGGTAAGTCAACCTCCCCAAAATAACTTGTGGAACAACTTCATAATATGCTGACTTGGGCTTTCGGTCCATCTGGCTTCAAATGCTACCTAGAAAGACTACAACAGGGGCAGGGCTACTGCTTCCTGTATTGGATAAATAGCACTGTTCAGGGAACATAATGAAGAGAGATCTAACAATAGGAGCTTGGTCGAAAATAACTACTGTACTTAGTTATTGACTAAGCTGGACTCCAGTATGCTTGATGCTTGCATATGTGAGACATGGGACTCCATACTTCTCTGTTGGATGGGTTTCAACCTCATCCTAATTCGTATCAGACTTCAAGATCAAAGCTGTCTGAAGCATTATATCAAGTAAAAGCCATGCTTTGATTCAGAGATCACTTGAAACACTCCCTTACCAAAAACATAAGGATTCTGCAAGAATTTAAGGGCGGGGGCACAGGTGCCCCCTTTCTCCGGACACTGTTCCTCTGGCCTTTTGTTTTGGTTCGGTTTGGCTTACGTGATTTTGGAAGAGTTACACGAGTTCTGCACATTCCCAGTCAATGAGAACAGGGTTTGCTTCATCCCCCTGCCCAGATCCTTAGCACTATTGTTTTGTCTGCCTGAGTCCTCCACATTCCCAGGGTCAGTCCTCAGGGGCTCATGTCCTTCACTAGAAATAGAAACAAGCACACCCAATTGGAGGCTTGGGTTAAATCTGATTATCTCACGAAACGCCCTTCTCCTTGACCTTTTCCGCAGTCACACGGAATTGGTTCTGAGTGTAACCTAGATTGTATTGGGGTGCTTTTCGGTCCTTGTTCCACGAATTCCCTTGCTCTTCTGAGCAGAAGGTAGCGAATTTAAAGTGAAAAGATACATGGGACTGAATGGGCCGAGACAGCGACGGTGATTTGTGTTGTTAGCTGTTTCTGAGCCACGCTTTGAAAACCCATGGTCCAGTGGGGCTTTTCATTTTTTTATGTTTTGCAGTTTTCCTAGATCTGCATCTGCTGAAGAGCAAATGCATCTTCCTGGGTTTGCCCAAATGCGAACCTCTGGAAGAGATTCTTTTGAAAGATGGTCCTCGCTTATCACACACCCCCAGGAAGTGTGCTGGCTCACCCCACGGTCGGGATGTTTCCCTAAGACTTGTCTGTGTGTGGTTGTCTTTTGTGAGGCACGTGGAGGGAAAGTCTCTGGTGATTACTTCCCCTGAAACCAATTTTTCTGGTTGTTTTTTTCTGGGGAGCTTTCCTCAGATTCTTAGAGGGAGCACAGACCCCCCCCAAAGAAGTTAAGAGCTACTGGTCTGTCCCAGCTTGGACTCCTTCAAGCTTATGGTTTCCTTACCATTGTCACTAAGAGAGTATCAAAAGGATATTCAAAAAATAACAGGCTCGGGCCAGCAGAGGGGCTCAGTTGGTTAAGAGCTCACGCAAGAGTGCGAGCTCTGAGCAACAGCGGTTCGATGCCTGGCCCGAGCTGAGTTTGCCGCTGAGCTGCCAACAGGTGGCAGGATGGCTCAGCTAAAATAAAATAAAATAAAATAAATAACAGGCTCAAACTCATTAGAAATTTGGCAAGTGAACAGGGACCTGGAGGGCCAAAAATCTGCCATTTTGAGGACCAAGAAGACACGGAGCACTTTCGTAGATTTCTCTCTGGTGTCAGAATGCCAGAGAGGGCTTTTTAGAAAATGCAGCATCAAAGAGGGTAGCTGGGTTCTCATTAAGAGAACAAAACACTGTAAACCTGTTAATAAGAAAAAAAGGGTTTGCGTAGAGGCATGATATAGAAAGGTGAAAAAACTATAGATGGGTATCTAATAAGTGAACTGCAAGGATAGAGAGGATGGGGGCCTGTTCTTTATCTCAACAAGCCTGGGGGGCAAGGAAGAGACTTCTAGTCCAAAAAAAAAAAAGAAAGAAAGAAAAATCTCAGACTATTACAGAGGCCCGAAGCTAGAATAATGCTTCAAAGGCACCTAACAGGTCTCCAGTTCTAAAGACCTTTCAGAGGAGAACACCCACCTATTTACTTTGGATGGGTTAGGTGGAGACGGAAACAACTCAAGGAGCCTGTTGACAAAAAGCCTTTTCTGTATCTGAGTGCAGAAAAACAGCATGTGGTTTAGTGGATACAGATCGTCAGGGTGCCTTGTACTCCCCAGAGAAGGTCCCCACCCCCTATATACACAGTCCTAGCCCCCAGCAAAACAAGCAGCCTTTTCACTCAGCAAGGGGGCTGAGAACCACCACATCCATTTCATGTAAATTACCGCTGGCATCATCCCCCAGCCGAGCTGCTTGCCAGGAAAACAGTGGCTCCTTCATTCCACAGATGCAGACACTCAAATCAAATAAACCGAAACGGGGCCTGCCCACAGAGTGTCTTCTCAGCCCAGCCCCTTAGTCCAAGTCACGCTGAGGACTGTGGGCCTTTCAGGTAAATGGGTGTTGCCGGAGCCAAATGTCTACCAGGATAGCCCTTCAGTTTTGAGCACCTTATTTTAGGTTCACTGAGGCCCTTGTTAGTAAATATGGAAAAGGTCCAATGTTTGGGGGAAAAAACAACAACAGCTCTTGCCAGTCGCTTACAGCCTGGTTCTCAAAGTGAAGTCCCTGGACCAGCAACATCAGCATCCCCTGGTTACTTGCCGGAAATTTAGATTCTCGGGCCCCATCCCAAACCTACTGAGTCAGATACTCTGGGTTACGGGCCCGCACTGTGTGTTTTAACAAGCCCCCCCCCTCCGCCCCCAATGATTCTGATGCAAGTTTAAGGCCTTCTGGCTTACAGCATGGGTTATAAACCAGATTAGGGGGCTAGGAAGGACAGTTTAATTCAGTGTAAACAGCTTTGACTAAAGAATAGTAGGTGTCTTTAGGGCCAATTGCCAAACACTGCTGCCTTCTGAGAATTTGAAAAAAGTGCCCCTTCTAGGCAGACTCAGCAGATACTTCTGGCTTAGGCTGAATTTGAGCCCCATTCACCTCCCGGGCTTGTGTGTCCCTACCGTGCACAAACTGTACCCCCTTACACAATGGCAGCCCTGGATGTTTTTCTCCCTAAACAGACCCACCACCTCCGGTGCTTAGGTAAGAGTCCCCCAAAGAAAGGGACATTGTAGATGATGGAGATCTTTTCTTACCCAAGGATTTTAATTTTGTATCTTTTCTGAGTTTTGGCATTTTGCTGTCACATAACTATTTCCCTAAACAGATGTTACTCGGTTCATGTTCATGGTAAAGTGTAACCATTTCCACTGTTGGAGGAGCTGAGTTTGTCTTTCAAAGCCTTGATTGGTCTTTGTCCATGAGCCTGGGTCTCCCCTGCATGACTGGAATGCTAATCAGAGAAGCAATAGCAACACATTTCCGAAGATGGCGGGAGAGGGGAGGTGGATAAAAATAGGCAGCCCAGCTTCACAAAATCATGGTTTTGCTTCACAGTCTGACAGTATTTTGAGAGCAGAACATGGGATTCCCAGAGGGAGGCTGTGATTGAGTAGAATTCATGTAGGTCTTTGAAATCCTGACCCTTCCAAAAAAAGTATGGGGGGTAGCTCTGGCTGGTATAGATGAAACTACCCCATGAAAATGACTTAGAAGTCATCCTGGGGTCCCTAGGGCAGGCCTAACAATGAGTGAAGCAAGCTCAAGGTGGAGAAACAAGCCTACTTAGGGACTAGCGTTAGCGGTTGAGCTCACCAAGCTAGCATTTTCCAACGGCCTCAGGTTTCCTGAAATAAGAACATGAGTGCCGTGGATCTTAGGCAGAATTTTATATGTGTGCTTGCGTTCATTTCTCTGGAGAGAGAACCCATAACTTTCCATCAGATTTTCAAAGGGGTCTATGACCCCCTCCATTTCCCCAAATTAAGAACTGTAGGGGGCCGGCCGAGTGGCGTGTTAGTTAGGAGTTGACTTGGAACACCAGCTCTGAGCAGGAGGGCCCCAGTTCGGATCCCACATGAGGACCAGTGACGCTGCGCCCTCAACAGCTAAGATGGTGAACAGTAGCTCAACCTGGAGCTGGGCTGCCGTGACTCGCCAGCAACGGCATAGGCTGCAGTGGGGCTGGCTGGCAGCGGGCATGAGCTTTCTTGAGCTGCCATGAGTGGCCATCCAATGGCCGGCTACCGATCTGCCTCACCCGGAAAGAGTGCAATGATAATATCAACATGGGCCAGTGAAGCGACGTCCTCCACAACTAGACTGAAGAACAAAAGGACAGCAACTTGTCTGTTCCACTTCCCCAATTCCCCAATAAAATCTTTAAAAAAAAAAAAACTGTAGGAAAATATCACAGTAAATTATTTCTGGATCTCAGTGGTCTGAATTACATGGAAAGAGTATGTACTAAGCCTTGAGGATTGGCTGCTTTCAATACAAAAAGGTGGAGTCTCCCTAAGCTCTTTATAACAAGCAGGTATTGGATGTATAATCATTTTTAAAAGTTAAAAAATGTACTACCCAAAGGATAGCCACCATTTTGCTGGAGCCTCCCCACAACCCCAGCCCAGCCACTTGTTCAAGTCTTCCATTTTGACTTAATGTGAGAAAAAAAATTACTTCTATTTAGACCGAGGAGCCTGGAAGTGGAGAGAAAATAAAACATAATGTGCCATCCAACAGGTTATTGAAGTAGAGTTATAAGACTTTTTAAAAATTTTTAGGGCCGGCCGAGTGGCGCAATGGTTAAGAACTCGCTTGGGATGCCAGAGGGCCCCGGTTCGGATCCCACATATGAGGGCCAGTGACACTGCCCTCCACAGCTAAGATGCTGAACAACAGCTCAACCTGGAGCTGGGCTGCCATGAGTCGCTGGCGACGGCGTAGGCTGCAGCCCCTGTGGCAGTGGGTTGCCATGGGCTACCGTGTGTGGCCAGCAGCCAGCGTGAGCGGCCAGCAGCCGCAGTGAGCGGCCGTCCAGAAGCCGGCGACTGATCTGCCTCGCCCTGGAAGAGCGCAGTGATGGTGCCAACTTGGGCAAGTGAAGCAACGTCCTCCA